TTTAAGCATATCTAGTTGTATTAATCTTCTAAAATCTTAAGCTATCGGAGGACATTATCATGGTCAAGCACTCGTGGGTCACGTCGCAACCATACGAAAACGTCATTCGCGTGCTTTCTTGGAGGCATATTCATGGTCAACCCATAGTTAGAGAGAGCAGAATATTGATTTGCAAAAAGTAATTACATAAAGTAATGGAATAGACCTTAGATAAATATGCAAGCAACATGAACATATATTTCCTATTTGTTTATTTTTCTTTGCCACGGTTGCTTCTTATCACTATATTCCCAATTATATATATATACACTTATAATCATAATTGGCAATCTCTTATTCAAAGGGATAATTGTTTTAAAACTGTTAAACTTATTGTACGACAGCTAATTCAGTCATAAACTTTTCAATTTTGTCAATTTAGCCTTAAACATTTTAACGATTTTCCAATGTAGTCCTTCCGACCATTAATTTTCCCCTTGTTCAAAGATATGCGATGTGTAAGTGTATAGAGATAATTATAAAATTTATGTATCATTTAAATTAATAGTTTGCCATTTTTTTAGAGTAATGATGCCGCAGTTACCTAAATTTTTTCTTGGAGTTGCAATTTGGGTACCTAAGCCTTTTCTTAATCAATTACGTACGCATATGAATTTTGGCCGTTTGAAATATTTAATCGAATGAAAACAATTGAGGTAGGTGCTAAAGATTCGATCATCCCTAAATATTTTTAAACGTGAGTTTTTGAAATGTTCTGTTTCTGCCAACCGGGGATATAGTCCTATGGTTGGTCGTTTGGAATGGGATCATTCTTGTGGTGGTCATCCTTGATAGGCGATCGTCACGATGGTGGTTGTCTTGTTCTTGTTGACGGACGTCCTCAATGAATGGGGGTCGCCCATAACATGCAACCACCATGACGGCGATTGCTTGTGCAGTTTGAGATTGAGAAAATTATCCTAGAAGTCACAAATCTATTATATTTTTGCCAATTCAGTTTTAAACCTTTCAATTTTGCCAGTTGAGTCATAAACCTTTTCACATTTTGTCAATTGAGTCCATCTGATCAATTTTTATCGGAAATCGCTAACATTGATGCTAGCTATCCTACGTGGTACGCCCGGCACTAACGTGAATAATTTTTGATAATATTTTAATTTTTTTTGAATTTTTTATTATATTTTTTCTTCTCTTTTGCCTTTTTCTTTTTTTTTTTACATCTCTAGCCGGTGAGGGCCAATGAATCTTGCCTGGTCTAGGCGAGGGGGAATCGAGCACTCGCCCATTGGTCGGCGAGGACTGCAATGCCCTCGCCTGGTTTGGGTAAGAGAGTCACGGCCCTTGCCTATTGGCTGGTGAGGGTCACAATGCCCTTGTTGGCCACAGGCGAGGGTGTTGGCTCTCGTTTGTGGCCGGCGAGAGTTGCGACGCTCTCTTCTAGACCAAGCGAGGGTTGCTAGCCTTTGCTTGTGGCTGGTGATAGTCGGTCGGTGACCTTGATGGCTGGAGATGTAAAAAAAATAAAAAAAATGAGAAAGAAAAGAAAAAAACTAAACTAAAATCAACAATTTGCAAAATATTTTCATAAGATTAATCGCTCGTATAACTTACAAAAATAAGTCATTTTCATTGAGCATAGATTCTCATCCACAATGAAAACATAATCCGTTAACTAATTTTCCAATGCAGACAATTTTTTTTAAGAAAAACATTTTTCAAATCATTGATTTTTAGCGAAGTAAACACCCCATCAAGCAAAGAAATTCCCTCTCAAAAAACTTTCAAAGGGTCATGTTTTCCTCTATCTTTTGTCGGAGAAATTTTTTTGATTTATGAGTTATAGACATGCACATCGTCCATATTTAGGAAAAATTACCAAAAAAGTCATAAACCTATTGCAATTATGCCAATTTAGTCCGAAACTTTTTTTTTTAATCGAGTCTTGTGCTAATTGAGTCCATACAGAAAATTTTGGTCAGCTGTCACTAATGTGGACGTCAGCTGTCCTACGTAGTGCAGTTGGAGCGTGGACATTTTTTAATAATATTTTAATATTTTTTTTCGAATTTTTTTATTTTTTCATTTCTTCTCTTTATTTTTTTTATTTCCTTCTTCCCTTGGTTGGTTGCCGAAGTCCGGCAATTGGCAAGAGGAAGAAGGAAAGAAAGAAAAGAAAGAAAAGGAAAAAGAAAAAAATCTTAAAATATTATTTAAAATTATCCACATTATCATCAGCTGCGCTACGTAGGACGACCGGCATTCATGTTAGCACCGATTGCGTAACGTAAGATGGCCAGCGTCCATGTTAGAGTCGGCTGGCCAAAATTGGTCGGATGTATTGAATTGATACAGATACAAAAGGTCTATGACTCAATTGGCAAATTTTTTTTTATAATTTAATTGATATAATTGCAATAGATTTACGACTTTTTTGATAATTTTCCTCTATATTTATATTTAGTGCATTTGAGGGATGCTCATAGTTTATGATCCAACCCAAGTGGGCAAGTCAAGTGGCCGCTTTTGATGTCGGTGCACCACCCGATCCACACTCAATTTCACGCAAATGGTGAAATTTTATTAATTTTACAATAGAACCATGACACTGTTAAACAATGCAAGAACTGGAAGTACAACAATTTCGAAGGGAAGGTACGTGCATGTAATAGCGAAATCGAATTAGTAAACCGAGAAAAAGAAAATGATTTTACTGGGGGAATGCCTCGATAATGGAAGGTAGGGCTTGGATCTTGCTGATGTTGTAGCGAGGGAAGCCGCCCTGTTGCAGCAGCTCCTTCCACTCGGCCTCCGTCCTCTCCTTCCCTCCCGATTGGTGAGCCATCATGAGCAGGTCGAACGTCACGCCGACGTCCTCGAACAGGCTGTCACCGTTCTGGCCAAGGAGGACTAGGTCGACAATTATGAGCTTCCCCAGTTTCTGATCCGATGATGCTATGGCTTTCCTGCAGTTCCTCAGTATCTTCACGCAGTCCTCATCTCCCCAATCGTGTAGGATCCACTGGGTTAAGTGTATAGTCATGAAAGTTATATATATATATTATATCTATTTATATACTCGATGTTGCTTGCTGAATACATGTTTAGCGCGCAAACTGTCTTTGTCAAAACCGGTTCCAACAATGATGGAGAGAATTATAGGTGGGTGTTCATATAAGTCAATTATATTGTTCTACCGAACAAGAGTGCTCACATCATGTTACCCAGTTTTAAGCATATTTAGTGGTAAGAATCTTTTAAAATCTTAAACTATCAGAAGGCATGTCTTATGATCTCATGAGTATTCATCAAAACGAAGGTTGTTATACTTTAATATCTTAGCATGTGGTTCGCGAGTTTTTTTTTTTTAGGCATATTCATGGTCAAACCATACTCAGAGAGGGAAAAAGATTGATTTACAAAATGTAATCCATATAATAATGTAATAGACCTTAGATAAATATGTAAGCAACAGGAACATATACATATAATTTAGAGAAACGACATGCTGATGGTGCTGTCATTCTGGTGGTTGGTCGCGACGGTCCTTCTCATGCCTCTCATCTTTCGAGGGAAATCGGTTGAATCGCTTAAGGGGTTTTATCTCCTATTTATTTATTTATTTATTTGTTTAGTTTTCTTTGCCATGGTTGCTTCTAATCACTTTATTCCCAATTATATATAGGGTTAATATCACGAAAAATCCTAAACTGGTACACATGCGATAAATTTACTCAAAACTAATTTTTTGACTACCAAAAACCCTAAATTGGTACAATTGTGACAAATTTACCCTCCATTAAATTGGATTAATACAACGAAAAATTATAAATTGGTAAATATGTAACAAGTACATTTGCAACTGTCACATGTCATCAAACTAGTAATTTGACAATCAAATTTAATAGAAATTGACGGAAGGTAAATTTATCATAGGTGTACCAATTTGGGGTTTTTGATTGTAAAAAAATTAGTTTGGGGTAAATTTATCACATGTGTACCAATTTGGGGGTTTTTTGTTAGTATTAACCTACAAGGCGCAAATGTAGCCTAGGATCTGGGGATTAGTAATAAGTAGAAGAAAAAATATAGCATTCAAAGTAGCTTTCTATAATAAAATGATTAGAAGCAACCATGGCAAACAATTAGACCGAATAGAAAACAATTATGTCAAAAAAATTTCCTGATGAAAATGGATAAGATACCCGATACCTAATAAAAAAGATTTGTTGAATAGACTTCATGATGCAAAAATATTTTCAAAATTTGATATGAAATCAGGCTTCTGGCAGATCCAAATTAGCGAAAAGGATAGGTACAAAACAGCCTTTACTGTTCCTTTTGGCCAATACGAATGGAATGTCATGCCTTTTGGATTAAAAAATGCCCCTTCTGAATTCCAAAGAATAATGAATGACATTTTTAATTCTTGTTCTGATTACATTATAGTTTACATAGATGATATTTTGATTTTTCTACATCCATAGAAAAACATTTTAAACATATCAATCATTTTATCAATATTGTGAAAAAGAATGGTTTAGTAGTTTCACCTACTAAAATATCCCTTTTCAAAACAAAGGCTTTTATTTACTTCCGCACTTGTACCTTTAATATTTGCAGTTTAGCTGTAATCTTTCAATACAGTTTATATACCAGCAATCTTTACTTAATTGCAATTTACTTTAAAGAAATTTAATTTACATACCCCACAATTGGCTGATTGAATGGGAAATTTAATTTTTAGAACGGTTGACATGATCCCACAAGATCTTTTATGTTTTTTTATTCGCATTAGCAAACTTGCAAAATAGACGAACATTTGGTTATTTCTTCACAACTTAAATTTCTATGATTGAAATATCTCACATTGACAACGGATCGTCTTATGTGCTCTTGACCTCCCTCCACCTGATAATATCTTAAGCTTTTGGCTGTGGTAAATACATGGAGCTTCAAGGCAAGACATAGTGAATGGGAAGACAAGACCCTGCCAGTTTCAATCACTGGAAAACGTCAATGTCTGGAAATTGTTAGTCATGACTTCACAGGAGTCAAGAGATTCCGATTCAATTTCCCAAAGTTTTTCTCATTGAGTCCACCAAAAGTTTACACATTTCAGCTACATGTAGCTGCAAATCCTCAAGAAGAAGGGCACAGCATGCGGTCGGCCAGCGCGAAACCTGAGCCCGGACGTTTTCCTTAACTTTTCACCGTGTGAATACAAAGTCTTGGACGCTCTATATCTGAACTGAAGCAGTTAATTTCTCTATTGGTACAGCAGATTGTAGGCTGGTAGATCCCGGATTCGGTGGACGTCTTCCAGCGACAGTTCTCTCTCCAACTGCGTCCTCGTCACCCGAAGAACCTCCTAACAAGGACGTAAATAGTCTAGTGTCAGGGCAGATATGTTGTTTAGACTCCATACAAATGCAAGTGAGAACCTTAATGCTTCCAATGCTGTGCTAACACTTTCTTTCTGTGGCCAAAGAGCCCCGCTAAAGAGCGGAAGAACTATACATAAGTGAGAACCCCACATGAAATCTTCTTAAAGCACGAGCGATGGGTATAAACCTGATGAAGTATGTCGAAAGAAGGGGAAAAAGGGCAGGTACACGTGTGGAGAAAGAAGGTATATTAGTTGATTACGAAATCACAAAAGCACCAGCATTATCTCTGAAAACTGGCATCTGGAAATCAAGCATTATCTCTGAAAACTGGCATCTGGAAATCAAGCATTATCCGATGCAAACCCTCATATACTTTTCCTTTTCCAGATAAAGAGTTCAAATGGGATCAGATCAAGCACCTTTGATTATTAATGTAGGCCTATCTATGATCATGATTGTTTGCACAATCGTCATTTCATTAAATATGCGTGATGTACCAGACTATGATGCTGTTGCTAATGACAAAGGAGAGAGAGAGCGAGAGAGAGAGAGAGAGTACATTGAACTCCATGTAAGAAGCATGCATGGCAAGCCACTGCGCATCCATCATTTCGAAAGCTATACAGTATAGTACATCAAAGGCTTCTTCATCTTCTGCCAATCAAATTGTGATGATAGTCAGTAAAGGATAAGTCTTATGCAGAAGGCGGTGCACCTGAGTTTTAGAGATTGAAGTTCGATGAAAACGAAAAATGATCAAGAATTAGTACTAAATGGCAGAGTACCTCCTAACAATTTGACAAAATTGACTCCTGGAAGACATCTTGGTTTGACTGCAAAGTAAACACAAGATTGATTGATCAACTTATAAAACCATCATTCATATCTACAAACAGATGCCATGCTAATATATGGTTCCGCACAGGAAGCTTGAACGCATTAGCCTGTGTATCAATAAAAGTCTAGCAATGAAGTCACTCCACAGCACTGTATAATCCACATCAGCAAATAATTAAAGAACATCAAAGCAGCATTGTTTTCCCTGCTTTTAGTTCCATCTCCAAAACAGATAGCACACAATTTATTCAACATTTTCTCAAACACTAGTAAAAGATTAAGTTACTTGAGGTTTGAGAGGAGTCGCATGAATCACTGTGGACTGTAAGGATAAAAGAGGAACTCCTCAATCAATCAGAAAGATGAATGAAACATCTCCAACAAGAAATGGCATCAAGTTTGACAATTTCAGAGCATCACTCCCAAGGTTTTAATTTAAGATTCTTTCTATTGAAAGACTCTGTAATCAGAAATGCTCAAAGCACCGACACGCACATCGTCCCAAAAGGTAAACCGATGGTAGTCCTTATGACAGAAACCCATGATAAAAGACAGTCTGTACCCACCTGAGTATAAATCTAGCATCTGAATTAACATAAAAGTAACATTTATGCCAGCAACCGCGAATGGATACTCCCAGGTTGCTCGTTTCCCACCTTCCTTGAACAACAACCTATGAAAAGATTTCTTCATGTTGAATATTCCTATAATTAGTTAAAATGGAGACATCAAAGAAAGCAAGAATTTCATGGACAAAGATTATGCACTTCCACATATAAGAGTGCAAAGAGTCAAGCTCACACAATTGAGAGAGAGAGAGAGAGAGAGAGAGAGAGAGAGAGAGAGAGAGAGAGAGAGAGAGAGAGAGAGAGAGAGAGAGAGAGAGAGAGAGAGAGAGAGAGAGAGAGAGAGAGAGAAAGAGAGAATACTTACTGGGTAAGTTCTGGCAAAAAACAGCAAATTCTCCAGGGAAACAAAACCGCAGCCCCTGAAAAGAATGGTTAATCGTCAGTGCATAGATGAGAATCATCGATATTCAAATCAGATCTTGACAAAAGAAGGTATAGTGTCATGGCATATACAGATCATGTGATGTCTAGCATCCTAATTGCTTATTACTTGCGGTTAAATCATAGTAGCATGACAGGGATATCTCTGTGGATGAATTGCTTTATCACCGCAAAGATAGCACTTCCTCTATTTAACACAAATATTTAGAATCACTGTAAGTAGCACCGCAAATTTTTTCACAATAAGAACTTATGAAAGCACCCAATATAATTCGATTGCAAAACAAAATACATCTCCAAACCTGCCACAGAACTTTAGTAAGGATATGATCCTTCATATTCAGCATTTATGCACATCTGACTGTTGATAAAGTAACAGGGGATTATAAAGAGCAAGTTCAATTTTCCCCCTATTAGATGAACCAAGAGAATAGCTTTTGCGACTGGTAATTTTCAAGATCTATTCTATAGACTGTCCAGTATCTATCCAAAAGAACTTAGATCAATTTGTGCCTATAGTATGGCATTACTACAAGACTGGTTGAAGCAAGAATACCTGAAGTCAGTTGATGGATTATGACCTTGCCAGCCCATGTCTTTCCATTGCTCCGATATTAAGGCCGTCAAAATGACATTTGGAAAGGCAGCATACCACAATGATCTAAGAGATTCCTGCCAACAAGAAATATCATTGAGTTTCCTTCACAGATGTAGATTCTAATTCTGAAAATGATTTTACAGAAAATTACTGCAGGGATGATTTTAGAACCACGATGACTAATGCTGATGCACGTACACCTCCTCTCAAGAGGCCAGAAAATGTGGTCCGATCACTTAGAGCCAGAGGAAAAATGAGGTAGCATGAAGTAGTACCTGATGATCCGGGCGCGTCTCATCGAATGGTACTTGTAAACGTTCTTGAAGTCTTTGAAGCCTTTGCACCTGGTAAGAATAAGCATTTTGAGAGTTAAAAGGGCAGGGCACAAATAGTTGGGCAAAAAATTTAAAACTGCAATCTCTCTATAATCCTTAAAAAGATATCTTTTTTGCATGTGGTCTTGGAAGCAACAACATCAAATGGCTTTCTAAGAGATTCTTAAATAAATAATAAGCACTTAACATATCGATACTTGATGTAGCACCGGATTAGAAGAGTTAGACTAAGTAGTGAATGCATGAAAACCCGAACTAGCTGATCTACTTATTTACCTGAAGAGGATTGAAAGGGTAGTCAACATATTTGTCATTACGTCTGTTGGTGGAGCGGTTGAAAAGTCCTCCAATCCATGATCGTGGTCCAACCATAGCATTAGCTACAATAGCCATGAATCTATTAATAAGTTGAAACTTGAACGTTACTTTTAAAAGAACAATGCATATTAGCAAAAGTAGTCTGCTCTTTGGAAATTGTAATACAAGAGTATTCAAAGTCAGTTTGTAGACTCTGACAAAGTATAGGATAAGTAGCGAGGAATGAAATAAAATGTGCTCATATATCATTTAACCTGAGGGTTCCTCAAAGATAAACATGAGCACCTCCAAAAAAGACATGATAACCTCAGAGATTATCTCAAAAAGAAATTGAGTAGAATGAAGTTAGGACGCTACATGAGCTGGTTTAGATATTTCATCCCACAAACAAATGAAACCTACAATCCATCAAAATGCCTCCAATTTGATACCCTCCCAAGTACTCTACTGCATCATCTCCTCATAGCATGAAAACAGCAACACGAGTTAAGGAAACAGATCCCTTCTGACAATAGATGTCTACTAATCAAGGATTTGATAAAGGTAAGAAAGCACTTGTGCTAAACTGAAAAGTACCTAGTGCTGATACAAGGATCATCAAAACGGAGATATTAAAAGGAAAAAGGGCTAATGTGGTCAATATTTTCTCAGATACATCAGAAGCAAGCAAAACTTGCATATTCAAAGTTTAGAGAGCAGTCAATGAGAAGAACAAAATCGATCCAGCTTCAGCCAGTATGTAAATGTAATAGCACAGATGGAATGTTGCCAGGAAAGTTTACTCACTAAAACATTGAGCTAATTGTGATATTGTGTCATGCGACCATTCCAACTCTTCATTGTCCCTTTTCTGTCTCCAGTAAACTTCATCCTCATCAACCTACATTTGTGTTTTGGAAGGAACTTCAGTATCTAAATAATGCAGGACAAAATAGACAGATAAACCCTTCATTGCACAAACACTCGTTAGTCCATCCCATGCAGCAGACATAGAATACCTTAAAAGTGTAGGAAAGAACATTTCCTACATTGGGAATAAAATATGATCACAGTTTCTCAAGATTACCAGTTAGGATGACTCGTACACAATCGACATAAGTCTATTTAACAGTTAGACGCAGAACAAGGACAAAACATAAAAGGAGGGAAATCACAATGCAGGTTAGATGAAGCTCCATCACTAACTACTCAGAAATAGCTGGTACACATTTTGTGAGGCTAGTATCAGAACCAAAGGATTCGATATAAGTAACCATGCAAGATAGAAACGGGTAGGGGATTACTCGGTGGAGAGATGAGCAAGATGGAATGCATTGTCTATGCCTGCTTAATCTCATCAGGGGCCCAAATCAAACATGGGCATTCTTTTTTCTCTCCCCACTCCTTTTAAACCGAAAGCAAAAGGCAAATGAAGAACAAATAGGGTTATGAAGTCTTGGGTCACCAATGATTGCACCCATGCCATGCTTTGCTTCCACAATTCAACTTCCCAACATCATCATCGTCTTCATCTCTCTCTCTCTCTCTCTCTCTCTCAAAGGTCAACAGCTATAACTGTGGAACACACTAGGCATATTCCAATTAAAGAAGCACAATGCAAAAGAAGCTTTTTAGCAGAGGAATGCATCAACAAGCGCAATCAAAGGGTCTTTTTGCACACCTTTTGCGTAACAAATAATTTCCCTAATCTAATCGAAAAGTAAAAAAAAAAACAATATATTTTAAGGCAGTACAGAAAGAGATGGGCAATACCCAAAAACTTTCATACTCATGAAAGACAAGAACAATATCCCCAAGCCCCACACCACCGCGCACACGAAAAAGCCAGAGATCCAAAAAGTACCTGCTATGGCGTGTGAGAGGACATGACGAGAAGGAAATGGTGGGGCCAATGCAGAAAGAAGAAGAAGAAGAAGAAGAAGGGTTAGGAGGAGAGGAAGAGAAGGACATGGCTTGTGGGAGCACAGGGGAGGAACAGAAGGGTATGAGAAAGTTTCGGGCTTTTTTGGTCTGTCACTTTGCATTTGCCTTCCATAGCACCAGCTTGTTCTCCGCAAATTCCGTTCGCATTCTGCAATCATCATCAGCATCATCTTATTATCTCCCCACTCATATTCTTTCGTGCCAACTTATTGCGCATCATATTCATATCTCATAGCACACGAATTATGCTTCTCCTATAGAGTTAGGCTTCAAAGATGACTCTATAAACAAGAGACGTGTAATCCAAACGTGAGATTTATTGCATTTGAATAGAAAGATTCGGTGGGGGACAAAATCTACATCTAAGAGGGTCGTATATAAAAAAATTTCACCTTTATATGTCAATGAAAACATCCAATACTATTATATAAACTACATGGCCAGGACCAACTGGAAACACTTTCATAGCAAAAACAATCCCTCACCATCATCCTAAGATCCAAGGACGGCTGCAAGCAGCAGGCGCCAGCAACAAACGCCAAAAGAGCCCAAAAATTTCAACACCTGCCAATTCTCCTGTTGGCTATCGGACAGACCATGAACACCATATAATCTTATTGATAAAATGAAGAAACTCAATGCAAATTCAATTTATGCGGACTATGGGCAACGTAAATTAAGAACGTCAGCGGTCCTACTTGAGTAAGACATAAATAAATTAGATGTGTACTGGGAAAAAAAGAATTCAGACCTAAACATGAATCTTTCCAATAATTTTCAATTGAAACACGTTCACATTTCATTAAATTCACACATGACTTTCCTAGTGGTTTCTTGAATGCGACATTTAATGTCATCTTTTGCGCCCGCCAAAGAAGAAAGAGGAGAACGGAAAACGGTCAACGAGTGACTACTGTACTAAAAACGCTTTAAATAATCACGAAAAGTCTCCAAGATCACACCATTTTGATATGTGCAATTAGAAAATTCTTCGTGTTATATAAGAATCACGTCCCGAGAATCATATCCCATCATCATCTGAAGTTCAATACCTGAATCTGGACGACCATGAACACTCTTGCTAGGAACACCACCTCGAGATGGAGGAACTTGTCGAGGCGCAAGAGAGAGTCCCATGCCGGCCTGAGGCCCTCCTTCAGTTACAGGCGCGAGCGGGCCAGGCACCGGCAGGTTTTCCTCAAGACCTACAAGTTAGGATCGGCGGATGGGTTGGCAGCTGACGAGTCGAACTCCCACCGTCTTTGCAACGAGAAGGTGGTGGCAAAGGAGAAGGCGATGGTGGTTTCGGTCCTATCTTTCCTGCGGATCGGTTCTCTGAGGTCTTGCAATTGCCAATCGGCCATCAGGGCATCGGCGCCGCGTCCGCTGAGGAACCATTGCTTTTGATTTCGAGAAGTAATAGCATCGATCAGACGATCAGTCAAAATAACTTTAGTTGGGTCATGGTGATATGGTATTAACATACTATTCATTTTCAAGCCTGCAAAAAAAATGAGCAGAGGATGATGCATCTTGGCAATGGTCGTCGTTTTGTCATACTTTATGTCAACTTACTGAGGTCACAGCCCATCATCTCATTCACATTATGATTTATTAGACTAGAAGTTGTCATTGGAGTATTGAACTTGGTGCGACGAGGTACCGAGCTTGGCAGTTATCAATTTGGCTCGGTAACCCAAACGAGTTCCTGCAAGTCTTTTTGTATGCGCTTGTGAATCAAATAACATAAGTTTTTCATTGAAGAAATGAATGTCTGTGCATATGTTTTAGCACACAAGAATTCAGGTCTTTCTTCGTTCAAAACGCCGCAAGTAAAGAGTGAAAGCGCGCTAATTTTATCTAAGGTTGGTCCGTTCGGGTAGTAATGGCACAGATATGGGCAAGAGTAAATCCTTATGATTAGCCTGGAATCATGTTCCCGATTCTCTAACTTCAGTGCAATGATCTAAACAAAGGCGATATGAGAGAATGAATTCGACGTCATTTTGGTATGATAACAGACTCGCAGACAAGTGGAGGCGTTGGAGTCCCAACAGCTCCTAAATTGAAGGAGAGAAGCTTTACCCCTGTAATTAGGCTCAACTATGAAGGGAGACGGAGATTGACATGAGACGACGGGTGCGCCTCCACAGTTTTGGCCCTTCTCAAGGAGGCAGGCGGTTGCTGCCATTGTCTCTGTCCTCACCAATCACAACCTTTTACTCGCACTCTCTCTCTTCATCCTTCTTCCTATTGGAGACTTATCCCGTCTTTGCACCATTGATCGTCAATCTTAAGTGTAGCTATTCATTCGTCGGATTGATTTCTTGTTCAATTATTGCCCGGAACTTTGCTTTCCAGTTTCCAAGCTCTGAGAATAGGAAGAACTAACACATCATCACACTTTTTGACATTCATATCCTCCTCCGGTTCGACATTTGCTGGAAAATTAAGGACATTAAATCATAGCAATGGCTTCTGGCTTTTCAGGGGAGACATACACCTTAGTCCGCGACAACGTAGAACAATTTCAGGTAAATACGTCAAATTGCATGATTTGTTGTTCTCTTTTATCAGTCACGCATTATGAAGAATGTCCCAGTCGATGATCATGTGTGGTCTGATCCCGCAACAAGTATGAACTCATGGTTATTATAAATGGCAGTGAGCCGAATTTGGTTATAGCAAACGTCTGTTGTTGATATATTTAGAATGCAACATAAAAGAACATATCTCCAACCATGTAGATCAAAAGTCGATACATGTCTCCGCTAATGAAAAATTTAGCATAAATATCATTTGAGCATGTGTCCGATTCCATTTGTTCCACGCTTGCAGGAGTTATGCCAAAAACCAAAAAGAGGTAGCTACAAAGGTCGAAAGCTCATGTGGGTGGGCGGGAGATTTTATCTTGTTAGTAGAGCTCCGGAAGAAAATATTGATCTTCCGAGATTTTATCGACCTTCCTCCTTGCGATAGCTCCGTTCCCATTAATCAGGTAAGTAATCCGATCAACAGCAAAGGCAGAGTGAAGTTTTAGTTCACAAGCTGGTTTACTTGCTGGGACTAATAATTCCTGGAACATGTCTTGCTTCAGCTGATGATTGGAACCGTTGAAGATCTGCACAAGTTATATCATGACGCCGTATAAGCCAATTTGAACTCGGGAAGAGTAGAAATATCAGTATGTCAGGTCCGTTGACAATTAGCTAAATTCGAATCTGACTTATTACCTTCATCTGTTAAATACATCAACTAACAAGAGGGCACTCGCATAGGGACAGATCCATCTATGTCGTGCTCTAAGATCCGTCAGCAACTTGTGGGCGAAAAACAAGTGGATAGCCAATACTGGAGATATTCCTGATGATGGAACGGACAGTGTCGATTTAGATCAACTTGGTAAGTTATCCGATTAGACCATTTTTAGATGCTCCCTAGACTAAGAGCACTATGTTTCGTATAGGTGCCAGAGTGCTTGCCAAGCTCCATCACATGATTAACATTGCAAAGGAGTTATTTGATGTGATGGATGAAGACGAGGAAATCAGTGACAGCAACGAAAAGAGTAATGTTTTTGGGGAGATCTTGAGTGAGTCCTGCTTGGACAACAAAAGTACCTGTCCCTCACCCGACACTCCGACATCATTCCTGCCCGAGCTGAATCCTCCCATGAGGCCGCCCGAATTCACTGACATCTCTTTCAGGCCTCCATTTCTTCTACCTCTCCGAATTCAAGCGGTGAAGCAACTAAAGCTTTTCGACATGAAGTGTTTCCCATTCTACACCCTTCCTCATGCACCAATGCAGAGCCACAACCGTTTAGAAGGTGGTGACATGAACAAGAAACCAGACGTGTCGACTCCCGAAAATGAAGCAGTTGTTGGAAGACTTCCCGCAGAAGAAAGTGACCACGGGACAAAGGATTTTAGAGAATCAGATGGTTTCCAAGATATACAAAGTGTTAGTTCAGATGTGAAGAAGCCGAGACCGGAAGCCTAGATGTAGCAATCCTTCCACTGCCGCCACTGCTGCCTCCTCTTCCTCCAGCTACGCCACCAAGGGACTCGTCTTTATCATTCAATAAACCAGAGACAACTCTGCCCCCCACCTCCACCGCCAATTCCACCAAGTAAAGGATCATCATCAGCTCCACCGCCCCCTATGCCACCATCCAGGGGAGGTGCACTGCCACCACCTCTTCCAGGTAGTATGGCAAAAGCTCTGCGCGCCAAGAAAGCAAATAACAAGCTAAAGAGATCTACAAACATGAGCAAGTTGTACAGAAACTTGAAGGCAAAGGTATAAGGTGGAGAGAAAAACCAAAACTCATCGAAAGGCAAAAGAACACCAGTCTTCGGGAGGGAAACAAGGAATGGCCGATGCCATAGCGGAGATCGCTGAAAGGTCAGGTTCCTCTACTGGTATTGATATATATTCCCTTGTCGCAGTGAGTTAGTGAGCAAAAAAACTAAATAGCCACATTGTTGCTTCATTTGGTTCTATAGATCAACATATTTTCAACAGATTGAAGAAGAAGTCCGAGAGCACAGCAATTTGATTAAGGAGATAAAAGCAGCCATCAGTACTTTTCAAACAAAGGACATGTCTGAACTCCTTAAATTCCACAAGTTTGTCGAACAGCACTTGGAGAAGTTAACCGATGAGACACAGTACTTTCGTTCTGTTATCTTCCAGTTTCTAGTGATCCGAACTTCTTACATTTCCACATCACAATATGTCAGAACAATGGGTGGAGAAACCAAATGTTGAGACAAAGTTACTCTCATTTGTTTATCTTTCAGTCATTAGCAGTGGGGTCATTTTAACCTGGAAAATCTTCTGGACTAAGTCGAAATCAGGTTTTGGCAAGGTTTGAGGGCTTCCCAACAAAGAAGCTCGAGGCCTTGAGGATGGCGACAGCGCTTTATTCAAGATTGGAAGGCATAGCTACTGAGCTAGAGAACTGGAAAGTAATCCCTCCTTTGAGCCAGCTTCTTGACAAAGTCGAATCATACTTCAACAAGGTAGGCTCCAAGTACCTCTACCTGTAGAGACATACCTTGTGCCTATACTATATATGTGTCATACTAATTGGGGGAAAAAATGTCGGCGACAGATCAAAGGAGAGGTGGATGCATTAGAGAGGAGCAAAGACAGAGATGAAGCGTTTCCTGAGCCAAAACATTCACTTTGATTTCAACATTTTGGTTCGAATTAAAGAATCGATGGTGGATGTTTCTTCAGGCTGCATAGAGTTGGCACTGGAGGTATGATTTACTTATAAGTGCAAACAACTTGAGAAAAGAAGATACATTGTTTATGTATTTCGGCTTAAAAATTTTTGTCCAGGAACGGAGAGTGATAAAAGCATCAACCGATGGGGGCTCGCATAACCAACACCGAGAGCAAAACTACAACATGCGTAAAGTTGCTCTGGCAAGCTTTTCAACTCGCGTTTCGCGCCTATAACTTTGCGGGCGGCCAAGATGACCGAGCTGACCAGTTGACTCAAAGATTAGCCGATGAGATCGAGGCCGATCCTCTATGAATCTAGTATCTCTTTAACAATAATACCTTTGAATAACTTACCCGCCTCGTAGCACATACGGTGAGATCATCTGCAAGAAAGGTCAGTAAGATCGTCTGCAAGATCAATTCCGAATAACCATGGTCTTGTTAAAGTACCGATTATTAGATACCACATTGTTATGTAAACAGAAGTCACTGAATGTACTATCCTCATGTAAGAGCATGAACTTTTATATGAGACTATTAAGCGCGCTTCGATAATAAGCTGTTGCAGAAAAGCCCGTGCTGCGACCACGTCACACCATGCACACCAGAGATAATATGACACCGGGAAAATTTCTACTCCCCTCTTTGTCGAATTATAAGAGCATGCTGAAAACTGCAGCAACAAATCAGCAAGGCAATGTAAAATTGGGACACAAGAAGTTTAACGTGGAAAGCTGAGCTAGAGAAGAAAACTACAGAGTAAGCTCGCCAAAACTTCCACGACATACAATGGGATTGCAAAAGGTTTTCTCTAATCCTGTGAGCGAGGATGCCGGAAATACGCCGATGGAGAAGGGTTGTCCGTGACCGACGCTAGCCAACACATAGCACACACCTCCATGTCCAACGGTGAAGATTGCGCTGGTTGATCTGCTAACTAGAGTGATCCTCATGTGATATCATGAGATAAGAGGAATAAAAAGAAATATAACGTCTCCCAAATAGTATGAGAATTAGGGAATAAATACTCCTTAATTCTAAGAGTTTGCCTTAATTGTTTTTCATTAATTTTCTATAACTTCAAAAAGATAAAAAATAAAGAAAAGGGAGATCGAAACTACGATCACAATGAACTATAATTCATTTGGATCGGTATCGCACTTTAGAGCAGTTGGTAATTTGAAGATCAATGACTATAGTGAAAATGAAAAATGTGAATTTTTTCGAATCACCATGTCAAAGAAATAGGCAAAAGGACATTATAAGTGCCATAAGTTATGTACGGAGATCACTTTGGTGCCATAACTTTTTTTCGGATCACTTTGGTGCCAAGTCGGAGGAAAAGAGATCACTTTAGTGACTCCGGCCAAAATTCCGGCCAAAAAAAGAGCCACGTCAGATTTCTGGTGAGCCATGTCAGCATCGGAAATTAATAAAAAAAGAGCCACGTCAGATTTCCGGCGGCCATGTCAGCATTGGCACTAAAGTAATCGTTTTTCAAAAAAGTTGACACCAAAGTGATCCGAAAAAAAGTTATGGTACCAAAGTGATCTCCGTACACAACTTATGGCACTTCTAGTGTCCTTTTACCCAAAGAAATATCTTGAATTTTACAGCCGGACTAAAAGTGATCGACATTGTCGTTAAAGTCGGTTAGTCTAATTTATGCCAGGTAATACTACATTAATCATGGTCTTAATCAGTGACGGTAAAAGGTAATACAATTTCCATGTAAATCGGCTAATTATCGAACCTATGAGGTTAAAGTGTATATCAATGATTGTTCGGCCATCGAAAAAATGGTAAATAATTGGAGTACACACAGTCGACGCATCGTAAGTAATTATTCTTTTTTCATCTTTCGTCGAGAAATGTGATTCTAATTCTTTTTTTATTACTATGAACAACCGTAAGTGAAAAGATTAACATCCATAGGTCCGAGGGAACCTACTCCCCTCCCTCTCTCTTTGACTCTTCCCATTTTCGTATTGGTTTTTTCTTACGGGACAGGATTGTCTTCCAATCACTTGGAACAGCCTCCGAATGTCGAGGATGTCGAATGCCAAGCGAGAGCAGTGCCTGTGAGCACGTCTAGGAAGCCGACGGGAGCAATGTTGAGGGCGAGCAGCTCCTGGAAGCAGCAGCTGAGGAGGAAAACACAAGCAAATAGTCAGAACCAAAACGACGAAGGAGGAGGAAGAAGAAAAGCACGGTCGAGAAAATTTCGACTTACATTTCCCTTGGGATGGTGGTTCCTGAGGCCACGAAGTGAAGTTTTCCACGTCGAGGAGGCTTGTGTTCGCGTCGTAAAGGGTGGAGAGCCCGAACCTAGCGCCTGGCGCAGGCCGGGGCAAACTCCGCTAGCTGAGAAACTTGGAAAGCCATTATAATTGACCCTCTTTCTCAAATCAATTGCCCTTGGATGGACTTCCCTGCACAGGGATGCTTCCAGAAAAGACTTTCCCGAGGACGAGTACATTGCACTTCTCACTTATTCTTTGCTAGGTTTCCCCTTTCGTCACGTTCAACCTGGCACAAAAAGGCAAACAATAGATGAATCAGCCCAAATGATTGAAGGGTTAGTCATAGGACCGTGTTCAACCTCCATTCCAAACATGGGAGTGCTGTCGTTTGTGCCGGATTGGTGCATGTTTGAGGATAATAGTCCCTCGATTCTAATGATACCCGATACGTTTTGATTTAAAGACTGAAATATTAAGATATCACATCTTTTAACCACGGGAATATTAATGGCTCATGAAACTTAATACGTTTAATTTGTTCTTTTTGTTAAAATATGTCTCGAGTTTGAGCCCGATAGACAAAATCCGATCCGAGATTAAATATTATTTTACGGAAGTCCAAAAGTTAGCTAAGGAAAATATACGAAATCAAATTCCGAATTAAAGTTGTAATGTGCATCGGAGTCTTTGCCCGCTGAAACAGGAAAGTCGAACATGGAGCTTCCACGTTGAAGTCGGTCAACAAAGAAAGAAAGGAAAGGATATTGTGCTCAAGTGGAAAGAAGAAATAAAATAAAAAGAAAAGAAAAGAAAAGCATGGCTGGATTTTGTATCCTGATCCCAGGCGTGGACTTCTTTTGTTGACCAACGTGGGACTACTATTCAGGCGGTGGATATCATGTTTATATATGCTCATGGTCAAGGGATGCTTTCAACGAAGACTTCTTCAAGCCCCGCTACCTTGCGAGTGGTTGGTAGTTGATTTCGTTCGTGAATTACGTCTAAAAAAAATTAATATTCAAGCTGATTAAATCTTATGGTAAGATTTATGTATAATTCCTTCGCGAGATTAAGATATTATTTCGTAATGAATTATAGAGCTAAACACTGTGTGAGCTATTGAGTGTAATTGGGGTTTAGAAAATACTTAGAGTGTTTGAGTAACTCGAGTGTGGCTATAATCTCCGTTGTATCGCTCGATTTATAATGGAATTCGTTGCTGCTGTCCCCGTGGACGTTGATCATTACGACCGAATCACGTAAATCTGATGTCCGATTTATTTTCTTGTTCTGTCAAATTTATTATTCGATCGTTTGGCTTCCGCAACACTTTTGACTTGAATGATAGTTATAGAAAGATCAGCTTATAAGCTTTCTAAAGCATGGAAAACCGCATAATCGTGTTAAACGGGCGTATCTCGTGGAGGGAACACCAGATGGGTCTCACAATAAGCAACAGCAGAGTTCATCCCTTCATAGAATAATAGCAATTGCTTTTTCTTATTCGAACCCGCTCTCGATCTATCTTTTTTTTTCCTCTCATTTTACACGTGCTCGGCTCGCTACGATCAAAGGGCAAATCATTGATAATTGAAAAAGGGCAAGATTTCTCCTCTGGGAGAAGAAGAAAAAGGGAGGAAAGAAAGGACGAGGAGAGCAGAGAAGCAAAGGAAAGCGAGATCAATATCATGAAACACGAGGAAATGACCACACGGTGCAAGAAAGATGTCCGCATTTTTTACGTCCATAGAATGGATCTGTCCCTCTGGTTCTCCAACTCCTCATAATTCATTTGCTGTGACTTTGCTTCAATCCCTTACCAAATATAAAGAATTGCCGCACCCACA